TCCTTGTTCTTCCCGCTTGGGCAGTTGAAGTTGGGTGGTCCCCAACCACAAATGTTTGGGGGTGTTAAACCACCCACATCTTCAAGTGGCCAAGATTGAGAAACATTGCCATATTCAATGAACAAGGCCCTGTATTAAATTGAGATACTTTAGAGGCACTTAAAATGTCATTTTACTCATGCATATTACTCATGCAATAGCCTAAACTTATGTAATACTATCAATATTTTACTTTATATCACAAAACGTATTTCATATAGTGGAATTAACACTTCATCTTCTAATACTTCACACAGATTACACAGGGGAAAAGAAGCTCATTATTACACAGGCAACCAGATGTTCTAATTGCTGTGAAATTAACAGGACTAAACAATGAGTTTATGATCAGAGTATTAATTTGATTGCTGCACCATCAGATATAATGAGCACACTAATGCTTCTGAAACAAGAGTCCTCTGTATTTTCATTTTTCATTTTAAAAAATGGCCAGGCTGCCTTTCCAATCAGAAAGCACTCAAGTTAATTTGCAAAAAAAGAAAAAAAAAACAATTTAAAAATCATTTCAAGATATAGCATAAGTCAAATGAACACCAATAGCAACAGACACTATTACCAATACTGTACAACCAAAATACTATACTGGCAGAATATAAAATTATTTTCAAATGTTTTCTACTAGGTATAACATGATGTTGGCCAATAGGCCTCTCTGGGCAGAAAATCTACATTTTCTAGAAAGTCTAGAATTTCTAGACTTACAACTTAGAAAAAGGCTTGGTCTACTTATTCATATCTTCATACAAATGCATTTGTTTAGATTTTACGTTCTTTCACTAAAGTTTTGAACTTTCAAATCCACTACAAATACTTCTAAGCACAGCTGGTTAAGCATAAACATGGCATTCATCGTGTACTGCATATATTTCCCTTGATTTTCCTAAAGTTGTCTAAATTAACCTGATGACCAGCAGCTGGATGTTTTAATTGATTCCACTGAGAAGCATTATGTTTGAGAGGATCACGGATGTGCAGTATCTACTGTGGGCCTTTCACATATTACACTGGAACAGTATTTTGCCAATTAAGTCACTCAGGTTCTCCTGTACCTTGACTCTTTATGGGCAGAGCTCATGGAAGTTAATTCTGATGAAGCGGATATGGTGCTCTCTAGAATGTCTTCTACCACCTGCGGGCTTGATGCTTGTTCCTCTTGGATCCTTCAGATCTGGGCAGGTGTCAATGGCTTGTTATGGAAGGGGATGTTGGGTACTGCTTTAAAGAGGCTGTTGTATGCTATTTCTTAGAGGTCTTTCCGGAATCCAGTGGTTTTTTAACAACTACCACTGCTTATCTGAATCCTGTTTATTCAGAGTTTAGGCAGCTAGTTGCTCTAGTAGATAAAGTTTGTTGAGTTAGGGATGGGAGTGATGGGGGTAGGTGTTCCCCTTCTGGTCTTTTGGGGCCTCTCAGCAGCCTTTGATGCAATTGACCATGGTATCCTTCTAGGCTGCCTTCAGGAATTCAGGATGGGAGACATTGTTTCACAACAGTTCTGCTTTTTTTTCAGTGGGCAAGTGTAGTGAGATACCACAGGGTTTGGTCCTCTTTCCTCTACTTTTTAACATCCATATGAAAGGTTATGCAATGGTTTGGGATATGGTATAATCAATGTATTGATTATACCCAGCCTTACATCACTATACCAGGCCACACTGGAGATGGCTATGATATCCCATCCCAGTTCCTGGAGTTGTTAGAATCTGGATGGGACAAAACAGGCTGAAGTTGAACTCAAGCAAAATGAAGGCACTAGAGTATTTGCTCTATCTATACCAGTGTTATCTTTTGATGACGAAATACGATCTTTGAAGGAATAGGTCTACTCCTTGGGGGTCCTTCCATATTTTTAAAAAGAATCCACCAATAATTTTTGGAGGGCTTCTAGAAGGGGCACTCAAGATTTGCAGGGGAAGGGAAAATTTAAAGTACTGAAATAGAGGTTGTCCTTGTCCTAAGAAAAACAATTCCAACTGTATCCAGCAAGGTTTACTCCCAAATAAGCATGCAAGTAAAAGCAGCCTTAGACTGAATGAAGTAGCTGTTCTATAAAAGGTATCATACAGCACTTGTTAAATATTATAACTCTTTCAAGGAACATCACCCTTGCTTTATATAAAGGGGTCTGCAATCCTGGCATGATTGTTAAAAACCATCACACAGGCAGTAGCCTGAAAATTCTGTTGATCTTTAGTTTTCAAACTTTGATTTTTGCATCAGAAGAAATGCAAATGGATGCTACTTTAGTAAATTACATTTCTGCAATTTAAAAAATCATTTTATAGCTGAGATGATTTAAAACTAATCTTTATACAGTATGTACTGCTTGGGTACAAGCATGAAGGACACCCACCAAATAGAATTTAATCTTAAATCCCTCCAGAACATTACTCCCATTACCTTTTGCCATTACTCCTCATTCTGGATAAACCTTGCACATGGATTGCTTTAAACACCATGTTTTATACTGGCAGGCCTCTGGTTTGGGAAGAATGAGACCTAATACTTTGGTGCTTGGCTTTAAAAAAGACTGGAGACATGCCACTGCAATACAAGTTGAAAATTACGCAGGTGCCATACAGTAAGTTAAATTTGGAAATGTGTTATGTTGCTAGAACTAGAAGCATCTCTAAACAGCTTCTCATTTAAAAAAAAAGAAAAGGTTTGATTTATGAAATCATTTTTGAACTTTGCAATTTAAGGTTCAGACTTGGCAGAGGAAGAGGAAAACAGCCAAGTTATTGTTTTCTGTGCACATGAGACAAAACAGTGATAATGTTTATATGCAAGAGAAGACTGCAGTGCGCCCTAGAGATGTGCACACTTTGAACACGATTTAGAAGTATTTCAGATCTCTTGTAAACACAGTACTGTACCTTGCTGCTAGTCATTAAAGCAGCCAGGTTTTTTTTTCCCCCAGGCTTCCTTTGCATCTCCTTGCAAACATTTTTGAAGCAGACACAGCCATCGTATATACCAACTCTATTTTTATTGCCATCTTATAAGTTTGATTCAGTTTAAAGTTTACTTAACAATCATGGCTCAAAATCAAGAACCTCTGAGAACTGTTGTCTGACCAAAAAGTAGGGATTTTCAATAACAACAACAACAACAACTCTTGGCTATCTCACCGATTATTCTTTGGAATAATGCATCACTACTAAGTTAGTTTCAGACTAATTCTTATTTATACCCTGGATATCCCCTTGGCAAATCCAAGCCCCCCCCCCCCCCCCATGTGATCAAAAGCACAAAGAATGAGATGCACACAAGCCTCCTGAAAATGTCAACTCCCAATTCTGGGAGTTGAAGTCCACACGTCTTAAAGTTCCCAAGGTTGAGAAACACTGCATTATAGAAATCCAATTATTTTCACTTCTCATGTACAATGAGCATTACAGTAACTGTTATTACTGCAACATGGGTAACTCTCACTACTCTAATATTATTTGAAGACTTTTTTTAATGTAAACTTTGTTCCAGTGATGCATTCGACTTTGAATTTGGAGTGATAATTGTTCGAATAAGCCAAGGGTTTGATATATCTCAAGTGCTCCAGGTTCAAGGTATGTCAAGAAAACTTCAGACAATTCCTATACTATGGGTATGCTTTCTGGAAACAAAATTGTTCCCCTAATAATTCTACTGATTTCTAAATACATGAATACAAATTTCTTCCTTGAGATTTGGAGTACTGTGTTTGAAAGATGCAGGGGAGGGGTGGGGTGGGGTTCCCCCATGTTACTGATTAAAGAAACCGAGAACCAAACTTAAATATACATATAAAGGGGAGAGGGAGAGAATTATTAATAAAACATAAAAGTATAAATATAACTGTACTGTTCAGCTGGAAGACCAAATTACGAATTTTCTCTATATATGTCTGTGGGGATTTATTTATTTACAAACACACACACACACACACAACCCAGCTCCCAATTCCCAGGCAATTAAGGATTTTTACGTAAGACGTGTGATTTGGATATATGAGCTGCGTCTTTTTTCCTGAGCATTTATTTTATTTATATATATGCATTTATATGTGGCCAACTCCATATATTCTAGGTGGCTTAAAGCCCTAAAAGATTAAAAAAAATATATACATAAAAGTACAGTTACACACCCTCACCTTGGCCAGTCCCACAGCCAACCAGCAGGCACCTTACCTAACGTTCTCCTCCCCGTGGGATCTGCAGAAAAGCATCATCTTCCCTGCTTATTCCCGAAGGATAACAGCGAAGGGGCCATCCTGGCTAGCTAAGGGAAAGCTGTGCCACAACAAGGGGCTGAAACCAAGGAGGTCACTTCCCAAGGCCTCATTTGCTTACCTTCCAGCCAGTGGGGACCTCAGGCTGCAAGTACTGTAGAGGGTGGACAGGTTCTACCTGGAGTAGACAGTCCCAGAGGTAGAGGGACTCAAGACATAAAGGGCTTTGTGAGGTTATGACCAGCATCTGGAATGGGGCGAGGAAGCCAAATGGCAACTACAGCAACTCACAGAGTACAGGTGGCATTCTGCTGTATGAGCTTCCACCTGTTAGCAGAGTTGCGTTCTGTACCAACTGCAGTACAGCAGTGTTTTTCAAACTTGGCAGCTTTAAGATGTGTGGACTTCAACTCCCAGAATTCCCCA